TTCTATGGAGAAACTATCCTGGGGCTACAAGCCTGCTTCTGATGCTCTGGTGGGCTTAGTAAATTCTGTGGGGTTCACACCTCTCCTGCACCCCAACCAACTCCCTGGTACACATGAACATGAGGGATTTCCCACCTGTTCCCGGGTCTTGCTGCCACCTCTGCAAATATGAAAGTCATGAATGCAAATGCCTGATCTTTCCAAAGTCAGCTTACTCCTGGGAATGTGGGATTGCTTGCTGGTCTCCCCATTTCTGTTCACTACAGCCAGCTAGCCACATAGGACTGCCAGCTCTCCCTGTGAAATCTCCCTTGTGTGGCTGTCTTCCTTCCCACAGTCATCTCCTCCATTCAAGGCCAGAGTCTGTCACCCCAAATGCCCCTCCTCCAGTCCTCCCTACCCTGCTCACATCAGGACTCCCCAGACAACTTTCACAAAGACTTCTACTACCTGCAGGCCTCTGATCCTGTGTGTGGACCTGGGCCAATAGCGAAAGCAGCACCTGTAACCGACTGGGGGTTGGGCCCAGTAATCAGTTTAACCAGCACTGCAGGGGACCCCGATTAGCTCAGAGTTGAGAACCACTGCTCTATGGGAAATGCCACATGCCTCAGACTGGCACCCAGGACGCCACCTCATCTTACCCACACACCTGTCCGTTCAGTTCCTCTCCTACCATCACCTATACCCCCTACGCTTGCAGGTCCCTCATCTTGGGAAGACCTGACCTTGGTGGCTTGGCCATCACTCTTCTGTCTAGAAAATGAGACCTACCTGCTTCAGCTCCAACCCTCTTTTTCCCTGAGGCTCCACCCTGCCTGGGCCTAATGTCCTAGCTTTCTTCCATAGCCCTCCTCTGCTTTTCTAGGTCATCTTCCCCAAAGGCTTCAGAGTGCCTTCCTTCCATGCACATATGGACCATCTTCCTTGACAGGGCCATTTTTCTCATTCATCTACAAACCTTAGTTGAGGCCTACGAGAACATTCTGCACATGGAAGATGTGCGACAGTGAGCTCTTCACCCAAATGCTGATTAATAAGTTGATTTATAAGTGAGATTGGCCTATAGGGTTGGAGGAGAAACCTGCTTTTAATGTCTTCATGTTCCAAGCTCTAACCGAAAAGTCCACACACTCTATATCATTCTATCTCATCAGCAGAAGTGCAAAGTCAATGTCATTTATTCTTTGGCTGCCTACAGGTGGGGAGAGATTTAAAAGAGTTAAGTGGCTTCCTCAAAGTGACAGTCTCAAATAGCTGTGCACTTTCTTTACCTAAGAGACAACATGGCCACACAGAAGAGTTATACAAAGGGATGTCTATAAAAGACATCACCAATGACGTGTCACCAAAATGAAAAGGCCCCATGCTTGCTGACCGACCCAAGCAAGCAGCCACAAAGCCAACCCAGTGTCCCATCTGGGTGACCAACGTTTCAAAAAGACTCCAATCATAAGGGAAACTCCAAGTCCTCTGGCCTCCTGAGAGGACAGTCTCACCACCTCGATATCTTCTCTTTTCCTTTGTCCAGTGTCTCTCCTTCCCTCCGTATTGTTTGTCCTCCTGTCAGTGCTCAGATGCTTCACTCACCTACAGCTTTCGAGCACTAGATGACACCTCTTAGGATGCAGAAGAGACAGTACCCTTTGTTGGTCCTTCTGGGGTGGTCTGGAAGATGGACCTGGCTACTTAGGTGTTCCACAGCCCAGAATGCTTTGTTGCTCTCTCTAGCCCCATAGTTCACACAGAGTGGACCCCTGCAGGCCACATACTCAGCCAAGATGAAGTGAATACTTCCAGAGCTCAGAGAGAAGAATATCCATTCTCCGGCCCACCAGACCTGATGGCAGCCTCCAGCCCTCACCTCATTTCTGCTCACTCTTCCTGTATCAAGACTTTTACCCACTGGTTTCAGACAAACCACAGGGAGCTTGTGGAGAAGTATCACCTCCACTGCTCTGCCTACCTGTGAAGTTCAATTTGGAATTCTGTTGGCCTTCTATCACCTGGTGCTAGTCAAAGGGAGACAGCTGATCCATGCTTAGGTTAATGCATTAGGAGCAGAGATACCTTCTTCATCAGCCTAAAGCTCATTGCTTTCCCATTATATGCTTATAGGAATCCTTCCAAAGCTACACTATGTCTAAAGACTCCCTGAAATGTAAATAAAATGAAGCAGCATAAACATAAAACAATTAACCCCTGGGCTGGGGTCTTTGAAGATCCAGAAAGTGCAGCTGGCATAGCTCTTCCAGATAAGACAGGCCCATGCCTCTGCTGCCAACAGGGGAGTGGGGTGATTTATTCTCCATGCCCCATAAACAATTTAGTAATGATCTATACTGATAATGCAGCCTCTATAAACAGACTCCCATCTCCAAGCACAAATATGAACATAGAACATGCCATGAACATAGAACAGAGCCTGTGCTCTCCTCACCCTGTGTGCAGGACATTGCCATTTAGAGAAACTAGCTATAGTAGAACTTTCTAGTGATCAGAACATTACCCAACATTGGAAACAGTATTGTCGAGCACAGTGGCTATCCATTTGAGAATACACTGACGTCCATGGCTACCACACTAAAAGAGCAGCACTGAGAAGCCATGACAGAGACTAGATGGCTCACAAAGCTTAAAAGTTTCAACTGTTCTTTCCAGCTAAAGTTTGCCAATCCCTGCTCTACATAATTCTTTCAATACAGGAAGACTTTGGAAATACTTCCATCTACAGCTACCAAAACCCATTTACTGGACAATATTCCCTACCCTGCCTTGTAGCTGAGACTCTCCTGTCACATCCATATGTACAACTGCATACTTCAACTCAGAGAGCTTCTTCCATGGCTAAGAGGGGCTTGCATAATCTTGCCCCCCACCTAGGTAGAGAGTCAAGCTGAAGATGGAGTACAGTGCAATCTCAGGTAACCCAAGGTCAGTGGCTTTTTCTTTTCTTTGTGCTCCAGGAACACCTTACCACTAAGAGACCAACTCCAAGCCACTCCCGTCTCTTCCTCCTGTGTTCTGCCTCTTGTCTATGTGTACTTGGGAAGAGTGTCTGACGCGCAGCTTGCACGAACAGGATGAACAAGGCAGACTAAACAACAGCAGTGTTTCTTCAAGCTGGAATTGAAAATCTAAAGCCTTAGAGGTCCACAGGCAACTGGCACACAGCAAACTCTTGGCCTCTTGGCTGGGTTCCTTTCTCTACGGCACAGCGCCCTCACATGGTGCTGAAAGGCAGCACAGTCTTCCTGAAGAGCTGGCTCCCATGCCATCTGTGAGAAGGCTCAGCACTTACTCTGCAAGGACTTTAAATCAATGTTATCCAGATTTCCAGCCTGGACTCCTTCACAGATAGCTCCTCACTGGAAACTTTACACCAAGAAGTATAAACTCTGACCTCTACAGAAACTCACGAAACCGCAGCAAATGGGATTCAGATGTTTCCATGTACAGTACAGGGATGTGACCTAGACTTGAAACACTTTGGCAAAAACAGGAAAAATGATGTGGGCCTTCGAGGCCCTCCCAGAACATGATACAGCCCTGACCCCGAGCCCTACAGTGATCTGAGCCTCTCTCACTCTTACTTAAGCCTCCTCACTCACAACCCACACTTTGCCCCCATCCCACATTAACATCCACCAGGCCCCACCACAATCTATGCCTTTGCCTTGTTTTATCAGATCTGCCAATTTCTTCCAGTCAAGCAAAAGCAAACCATACCCTAAAGTGAAACATCAGAAAATTCCTGAAAAGAGAATCAGTCCGCTCCCAGGGAATCACACACCCACAGGTCTCCCTAGCCCCCACCCAGTGCTGATAAGAAAGCAGAAGTTACACAGAAAATCTTAAAGTCAAAGGTTTTCAGGCTTTACTACACTTGTAAGTGCAGGTCAGAGTATTCTAGGCAGTAGTACAAGGTTAGTGAAGGTAGGGTTTCTGACATGGGAAGGGCAGGCACAAAGTCTTATCAGAAACTGCTATCCCAGAGGTCCACTGTGACAGAAGATAGAGAAACAAGTAGATTGAATGCCCTAAATGATGTAGGGCTTTCCAGGGGCAGCCCATCTGTCAGCCACCGTGCGCTCCTTAGGGGCACCATGGAGAGGCTAAGAATTTGGCTGGGTACCAATGTAGCCAAAGTGCTCAAACAGGGCAAAACAACCCCAAACTCTCTGTGCCCTTCAGAGGACTTGTCACGGGTGTCTCAAACACAGTGAGGCAGGGGCTTGGGGAAGAGGCAGCTTAGGGACTCATAGGGAACCTTAGCACCAAGGCAAGCACCCCCACGGTTCTCCTTGGAGGTGGATGTCAAGCAAATGCCTGCTATGGTGTAAGGAAACAAGGATACTGACATCTCTTCCTCTCTTGGTCTTACTAAGCAACTAAGAGTGTGAGGTTAACCACCGCCTGCCTGGGGTCCTCTCTAAATTTCCAAGCATAAAAAGACAACTCACAGGCAGGCGTGGTGGCGCACACCTTTGATCCCAGCACTCAGGAGGCAGAGGCAGGCGGATCTCTGTGAGTTCAAGGCCAGCCTGGTCTACATAGTGAGTTCCAGGACACTGGGGCTACAGGGAGACCCTGTCTCAAAAAAAGGAAAAAAAAAAAAAAATTCCCAAACCCAAAAGGAAAAAAAAAAAAAAAAAAAAAAGATTCACAGACCATAAGGAAGATGAACATCTACCCTATCCCTGGATGGATGAGCTATACACCATAGATAGATAACACGTGTGCATCGCATACACACCTGTGCAGATACTGCGATCTCTCTACACCTGGGCGAATGGTGGGGTACTAGGGGAGGCCTCCCCTTCCAACCCCTCAGTTCAGATGGGACAGTCAGGAAAGCTGAGTGGGGGAGATGGTGAGGAAGATCCTCTCCAATCCGCCCCCACCCCGGGGAGGGCTCCCCAGTCCAACCCTGTGCGGGGACCACCCCAAGAGTCACAACAGACCCAGCAGGACAAACCCTTAAGGGGCTTGGACAGTACCAGGCCGCCGGCGGCGCCACAAGCGCTGAGGGAGACGAGGGAGCCCGGGTGGCCAAGGACTCGGCCCGAGTAGAAGCACAACTCGGCCGGGCGTCCGCTGAGCCCGGCAACGCCCCGGCCCTCCACCTCGAAGCCCTGGGACAGGAAGCGCAGGTCGCGATGCAGATGCAGGTATAGGTCGCGCCCATAAGCGGGCAGGTGCAGCAGCAGGGCGCGCTCTCCCGGCCTGGTGCGCAGAGTGGCTGAGGATGCTCGGGGACGCCGCCGCCTTCGGGGCCCTGTAGCTCCAGGCAGCTGCAACAGGTGCACGTCCTCTGGGCGCACTCGCCTCGGGAGCACCACCTCCACGTCGGCCGCCGCGTCTCCGACAGCTGCGGGGAGCGAGGACACGCGTCAGCGCGACCGGACCCGCCTGGCCGCCCGCCCTCCCGCCTCCGGGGCTGGCTCTCCAGGCTCAGTCGGCACAGCGCGGCCGGGATCCGGCACTTCCTTCTCTCCCCTCGCCGGGCCTCTGTAAGCCGGCGGAGCCATCCCTCGCCCTGGGGACGGCGCCATGTCCAGGGGGAAGCGGCAGCGCTGCGTCCCGCTCCGAGCCCTGAACTCCCGCAGCGGCCCGTGCCTCCTCCTCCCGTGATGCTGTCAATGGTCCACCCGTCCGGGTGCCTCGGGAGGGCACAGGGAAGGTGGCCGCGAGAGCTAGGGGCGCTACCTGTGCCCGGGTCCAGTCCCCACACCAGCAGCAGCAGCAAGGGCAGGACGAGAGGGGGCAGCAGGGCGCCGTCACACATGGTACTTGGGACCAGCAGCCCCCAGGGACCGTAGCTGCAGGGCAAGAGCGCGCGAGGCGGCGGCAGCAGCCGGAGTGAAGCCCTGCAGCCTTTGGAAAAAGTAATTAGCGCTGCGGACAAACCCAACGTGGTAAAGACTAAGCCCCACCTTCTCCATGGAAAGAAGGAAGTGATTGGGCTTTTGCTTTCCTCTGCCCCGCCTCCCCTGTCCTTATTGGTTAAGACGGGTTGAAACCAACGTGCGTAGTTAGGTTGTAAGCACTTTCTTACACGTGGTTTCCAGGCAGTAGCTGGGACATGACACTAGGTGGCGGCACGAGCCGACTCAGGTTGAGCGATCCTGAAGGAGGCTGGAGGACACCCCTGGTCTCTTTTGGAAGACCATCTCCGAGGCGGTTCTCCACCTTCCTGAGAAGACCGGCTAGAAAGCGTCCCTGTCAACCGACTGCATCCAAAAAGTCATATTTTCTCTTTATTTAAGTGAAACCAGCTTTGATTTGTTTGGTTGGAAAGGCTCCCGGACCAGTTTCCTACACACCTGAATTAGCACCTGATGGCTAGATTCTCCAGTGCTTATCCACACCCCGTGACTCACGTTCACAGAAGCCAGGGAATGAGCATGATCACACTTCCTTGCAGATTGGGAAACTGAGCAAGAGAGAACCTAAGGGGCTTGCTTAAATTAGCAAGTTTCTATTAGAGTCATGGTTAGCCTCTGTGGTCCTGACTTCAGGTCAGGTGTGTGGCTCATGGCTAAAAGCAAGAGCCCTCCAAGGGTGGCATAAAGCATATTAGTTAAGTTTCACCATTTAGGAAATTGGAGAGCTAAAACCTGCATTTGAACCTGATCTTTCAGCAATAGAATGCATGCAGTCTTTTCGGAGGTGAGGTGAACACCAGCAAGCTCCCCCCAAGTTTCATGGCCCCTATAGCTGGTCTGCAGCCCTCCATGGAGGTTTGCCACAGAAGGTGCTGCCCAGTCCACCACTGTTCCAGTGGCTGTCGCTGACTGGCATCTTCATTTAACTGGAGCATGGGGCTGGGTCCTGCTGGGCCGTACTTGGGGCCTTCCCATTCCCCTACCCTGCAGGGACCTTGTCCAGTTAGTTTAAGTCTGGGCAGCATTTTCTGGCAGCACAAGAAGTCATGGTGAACTGCCTAGAGCAAAAGTGCCTAGAATGTTGTTTGACTGGGGGTTTTGTTGTTGTTGTTGGCAAAAAGAGCCACCCGGGAGGCCTGCCACTGAGATTCATAGGATACAGGTCACAAGGCCAACAAGACAATTACTTCTGCCTTTCCTTTGAAGTCAGCCTGAAGTAGTCACCATCAGCCCATCCAATGAGGTTCAAAATAAGTCCATAGGGCCATGAAAACCGAACCAACACAAGATACCATTTCACAAAAGCCTTTGGAAATATGAAATACTAAGGAGTAAATTCTCCCATTCTCAGCAGTAGTATAATTGCCATAGCCACTTTGACAAACAATTGGGCAAACTAATAAAACCAAAAATGCATGCATGGTCTCACTCTATAATCCACTCTGGGAAGCCTCCAGAGAAATGCAGGCTCATGTTTGCCTTAGTACCTGTTAGGAATACATTTTTACTCTTCTTTTTGGTAGATGGCTACAAGAACACCATGTGACAATTAAAAGAAATGCATGTAGTGCTGAAGCTGGCGCAGAGGCCGAGGACAGGCTGGGCAGAGGATGAAAAGGACTGACTGCCCTTAGGTCTAATATGACCCTTTTAAATTCCTCACTGGGGGCCTTCTTTGGCTGGTAATTGGTGTTCCCAAGTGCCAAAGAACCATGTGAATGTTACAAATTTTAGGCAGAGGGAAGTGGAAGGAGTTGAGAACATCCCCCTGTTAATTTCACCACAGCTATGATCCAGTTTTACAGTAAACTGTGTTGCTGAGGTGAAATTAAAGCAAAACTTCCAGGTGGAAACAGTGGTAGGCGATCCACAGACTCTCAACTTACAAAAGCATCTACCCTCAACAGCAAAGAAAAGAGATACTAACTGCATTCATTCATCCATGTGCAGTGGAGTCCCTCCGTTGCTTTTTTAGTGCCTACTTTTTCTATCAAGAACTGAGGTACCAAATGAGGCGGTGACAGCATATAAATTGTTCCCTCTTCTCTGTAGTCTCCTCCAGAGGCTTCCTTGTGAACTAAGTGCTCATGGTCATTCAAGTGCTTGGGACTGAGAAACAAAAACACAAGTGCTGTCTGCTCTATCCAGGAAAGGAGGACATACACAAAGAAGCAATTAAATCTAGGCCTGGTGGCACAGGCTTATAATCTCAGGAATCTCAGGAATCTCAGGAAGCCAGCCTGGGCTACAGAATAAGTCAAGTCACCCTGCACAATTTATGAAACTCTATCTCAAAATAAAGAGACAAAAGATGGTTGGAAGTTCTCTAGATGGGCTGTCTAGACTCCTGTGGACAAATTTACACTGAAGGATATTTGGGTACAAATGCTTAACTGGATAGGACTTAACATGTATGGAGGAATATATGAGGTCTGGTGGGGGGATGGGGGAGGCATGGTTGGGGAAGGGGGTCTAAATTTGATTAAGAACTGTTGTATGACATTACAAAAGGTAAATAAAAAATATTAAAAAATTAAAAATTAAAAGATAGCTGGATGAAGTAAACCATGTGATAATTTTGCCTTGTAAATTATACATATAGACTATATTAATCAAGACTACCACTGTCATACCCCATGGCACTCCCACCTGGGAAAATGAAAAAGTAAAGCAAGATTTGTTTTTTCTTTTAAGACAGAGTTTCACTGTATATCCCTGGCTGGCCTGATCTCACTATGTAGACTAGGTTGGCCTCAAACTCACAGAGCTAGAGGTCTACCTGCCTCTGCCTCCTGAGTGCTACAATTAAAGGGATGGGCCACCACACTGGGCTCCGTAAATCAAATTCCTTTTTTTTAAGAGGGAAAATCATGGAGGAATGGAGGGAAAGTCAAAAGAAGGAAGGAAGGAAAGAACAAATGAAGGAATTATATAAAAGAAAGAACTAGATAGAAGAGAAAAAATAGGGAAATAAGAAAATAGAGAAAAAGAGATAGGACTATAAAAAATGGTGCCACTACTACAGAAAACAGTATAGCTATTCCTCAAAAAGCGAAGCCTATCCATTCTCCTTCTTGGTATACATCTTAAGTAGTTGGAAGCAGGGACTCACACAGATATTTGTGCCCCCATCATCACAGGTGCTGAAAAGTGAAAGCAACTAACTTCATCACTGGGCAAAGAAGTAAGATGCAATGAAGCAAGATTCAGCCTTTAAAAAGAAGGGATGCTGACATTCTGACACATGGCAAGACACAAATGACCCTCAAGGACAATCTACTAAACCAGTCACAAAGAACAAATACTATATGATTCCACTTACGTAAAGTGCCTAAAATATCTCAAATTCATAGATACTGCAGTAGAATGGTGGTTTTCAGGGGACAGGAGATGGGAAATGGGATTCAGTCTGTAATGTATGCAGAGCATCAGTTTGGGATGGTAAAAACTGTTCTGGAGATGCATGGTGGTAATGGTCACACAACAATGTGAACTCACTACCACAGAACTGAAAATGCTTAAAATGGTAACTTTCATGCTATGTACATTTTACTATAATAAATGATTTCTATGACTTAATTTCGTCTCACAAACAAAATGCCTCATCTTAACTTTATGGAATGGCAGGGCTTAATCAACATGTCACAGAAGGAGCAAAGTCCCTCAAGGAGGTTAAAATCAGCACATACATACAGGCAAAAGCCCTACAGGTGGCCATGGCAGTCTCAATCTGTGAATGCTGGTGTAAGAAAAACCACATTAAAATAGTTTGATGCCTTCACAGTTGACAGTGCTCCTGAACTTGTTAGCTTGACTTCTCTGACTTCATTTGCCGGAACTGGTCCCAGGAAGGCTGGCAATCTTAACTCTCTTTGATGCTCTACATCACAGCAGTCCTGCCTGAAGGTGCCCATCACTGGGGGCCTTGTTCCTGTTGTTGAGAGCCACAGGATGATTGGAGTTTTGCTTTCTGCAGTAGGGACCTGTGAAGGTCATGAGCATGTAGCACTGACTCTGGCTGCAGAGGTCAAGGACAGGCTGGGCAGATGATGAAAATGACTAACTGCCCTTAGGTCTAACTTGACCCTTCTGAATTCCTCACTGAGGGTTTTCTTCGGCTGGTAATTGGTGTTCCCAAGTCCCAAAGAACCATGTGTAAACTGGATCTGTTTGTAGGTAGAAGACCCCACTTCAATCTAAAGATCACTCAGCACTCGGGGAGGGAGGTTGAGGCTTTAGGGTCAGTGAGGGGATTCTGCTAGACAATCTCCTCTTTGAGACTTCTGAGGTCTTTGTTTATCCTTAAGGGATATATTTGGAGAACCCCAACGGATGCCTGAAACTGTGGATTGTAACAAACCTCATCTGTATGAGATTATTTCCCTATACATGCCTACAGTAATTTAACTTATTAATTAGGCATAATAAGTGATTCACAACGATAAGTATTTATAAAATAGAATAATTTGGGGGCTAGAGAGATGGCTCAGCAGTTAAGAACAGTGGCTGTTCTTGCAGAAGACCTGGGTTCAAATCCCAGCACCCACATGACAGCTAACAACTGTCCATAACTCCAGTTCCAGGGGATCCTACGGCCTCTTCTATCCTCTACGGGCATTGCACAACACAGGTGCACTTACCTACATGCAGGCAATACACACATACACATAAAATAAAAATAAATAAAAAATAGAATAATTTTAACAATGTATTGTTGTAAACATTATGTGAATGTTCTCTATTCCTATCACCCAATCTTTTGTTCTACTTGAACCAAAGCTCTGTAATATTATGAGAGCTGATCTGACTACTAAGATGGCTACTAAGCAACCAAGGGGAAAGTAGCATGTAAGGTGTGGGCACACAGGACAGAGATATGATTCATGTCCCCAGCAGGACAGAGCAGGTCAATACAATATTTTATCACCTTATTCAGAGTGATAATACATCTTAAAAATTATGAATTATGCCAGGCATGG